ACCTAAAAGGTTAAACTTTAAACTTTAAGAGGTTAAAAATTTTAATTTATGATGTGAAAAGTGAGAAATAAAATAATACACTTGCAACATAATATAAATGCTGTAGGAAACTATTGGTGGTTCTTAAAGAGTTAAGTAATGGTTTGTAAACATAAGATTATTTATTTTCAGCTCTTGCGATCGTCTCTTTAATTATTGTTACATTCGTCCCCAAGACGCCATTTCAGCTTCATTTGTTAAAAACAATGCTAGTTAATTAGCAAAACTAATCTCTTTTTTTTGAAGTGTTAATTAAGGTGTCCACTTACATATACGGTTAATAATTTTTATTTGTTTAAACAAAATTACTTTGTTACAATATAATATTCTAATACCAAAAAAAGTANACCAAAAAAAGTACTTACGTAGCGTGAAAATATCTTTTGTGATGTAACTCTTTCAAAAGTACATAAAAATGGTTGCCAGCAGGGGTGTACTTGTAGATTTATTAAATACACCTCTTAGGAACCAAATCTAGAACCCGACACTCGAAATTTTTGCTCTGTTACAATCGTACCCTGTTACAATTGACCCCTCTCTCCACTATCGAAAATATTTAGCTTACAGTTAAAAAAATTAGTTTACCCAAAGACAATTCCATGAAAAAATAATTAGATACAAAATTTTAACGAAATCAGTCTAATGGTAAAATTTTAGAAACTGAAGCAAATAGATTGTCCAAAAATACATTTATGACAAAAAAGTTACTTGGATCTTAAAGGATACCTTTTGGTAGTAGGAAGCAAATGCCGAAAGAAAATAATTCACAAACATTGAATTAGAGTCAAAACAATGTAACAACTATGATAGTGATAAAATATTGCAACGTATACTCGTCTATATTGAGCAATACAAATTCATTAAAATGTAAGTTCACTAAATGTAACTTTTTGTCTCTAAATTCATATTCAGGATCAAGTTTAAACTATCAAGATTAATTCGATTCAGGCCCAAATTCGTGAGCAAGAAATCTGAACTAAAAAAAAAAAATGTCGGGTATTATATCTTCACGTATAATCAAACACAGCCATTATGGGAGGTAACAAAAAATTGCAACATATACCAGTTAAATCTAAGAAACATGAATTCACTAAAGAGTAAACGTGTTTTAATTAAGCTCATATACGGCAAGTTGAAATATTACTTTACGCTTCAATGTACGTACGTACTAGGATAGAGAAAATAAAAACAGAACGCCTTAATGACTGATGATCTGATAAACAGTTTTTACGTACCACGACGCAATCTTGATGGTTTGAGAGGCTAACTTTAAATATTGTAACTAATTTGTGCAAATCACATTTTAAAATAAGAAATCGAACACAAAACTGTTATTCAAACATACCTTAATTTCAATAAATTTGGTTTCCTGACATTCAAATATGGAAGCTAGACACAATCTGAAGAAAATGGCCCCAATTATCTGTCCAGAAGATGTAAATTTTTGTGTCTAATTTTCCTTCTTAACACATCGCCTGTACTAACTAATTAGCAAATTTAAGGTTTAAATATTGCTAATTAACATATTAGGTTACTGATTAATTAGTAAATTGAGGTACTAATTAATAAAGGTTAAGGTCTCAAATCATTAATATTAAATCCTGCTGCGTAAAAGTTCTATCATTAAATCAAACGTTATTAAGGTGTTCCTTTGGTGCACAAGAAAATAACATAATTTATTTATCACGTTATTAAAATTATCAAGTCATTAAAGTTATTCATAAAAAAATATGAAGAATACTGACGCAAAATCCAATTTTTGAAGATGCGTGGCAGGTGTAGGCAGCATAGATCTTGAAATTTCATTTAGGTGATTTCCTGCAACTGCCAGTAATTGGAGATTTCTTAGAGATGAGAATGCTTTGTCCCCTAGCTTTTCTATTCCATTTCCTTCAAAAATCAAGTTGATCATCTTCTCAGGACCATTAGTGAACCAATCATTCCCAACTTCAGGAATTTTATTTTCTTCAAACAAAGCTATCTATAATATACAAACAATTTATGGAACAATAGCTTAATGAATGGGAGTTCTGTGATGACCACAGTAAATATATTTTTTCAGAATTCTTGTCAAAAATGAAACAAAATCAGTAATCATATTGAAAATCACTAACCGATATTTAGCTAAGAAAATAACAAGAGGAAAACAGGACTGAAAGCATCAAAACTTGTTTGATTGCCGAAGGAATCTGAGAGTTGATTATAGCAAAGGTGATTATAAGAAACCCCGCCATGTTTTTAATCACACCTTCTTCGTTGATAATTCAACAAGTTCCAACAGCTGTTTTTATCTTTCTTTCTCGCTGAAATATAAACTTACAATTGTGTTTGCCTTTTTACTACAATTTTAAAAAGAATTTTAAAATATTTATTTAATGCGGTAATTTTGGAATAGACTATACTGTTCTTAGAACTGGAGTGAGGAATTCGAAAATAACATACGTGATATAATAAATATGTGACATTCGCCTATCACTCAGTTGTTTAATTAAAACTGTAACAAATTGAGCTAATATTTTGCATGTTTTAAATTTTTCAGTCTAAAACTTTCCGGAATTTTATTAGGAAGACCTCGTGTGGTTTGCAATCATATTTCTATTACTTTTAACTCAAATAAAAAATCTTTTCGAATGCAACATAAAACCTATTTATTTAAGGTATGCAAAAATTCATTTTATCATTATTTTTTACTATTATTACTTTTTATTATTATTATATTAGTATTATTAATTATTTTTATTATTTAATTTTTCTAAATCATATTCATTTTTTTATTATGGGGGGAAAATATTTGAATAATGAATAGTGGGACAAGAAATTTTTAACATCATTTTATAGTGACAAAATCCAAAGTTCAATTTTTACCAATTTTTGAATTTTGTAAATAAAATTTGCAATGTTTAAGGATTGTTGAAATTTTATGCCCTTCAATTCAAAAATCTTTCATTCATTTGAATATATCAAATGATTAAAAATAAAGCATAAGCAGAAAAAAATTATTTATTAATATTTTTTTACATGTGGCTAACTTTGGATGAACGAGTTTTATAATTATATGCAATTTTTCTATTGATTGACTTAAAGAAAGTTCACGAAATTCGGTGAATTTCCAAACAACTAAAAATAAGATTAAGAGGCTCAAACTATCTCTCTCAGCTAAAATATTGAACTTTATTTTCCAGTTTATGGCTACCCCCAATATTTTAAGAGTCAAAATACGAATCAACTACAACGAAAAGATTTGTTTATTCAGAAGAATCTTGTATCATTCCTCAACTTTTAATACCATCAGCACTAATTAACTAACATGTTTAAGGCCTATTTAATTGATACTGTTGTTCTTTTTTCCCTCACGCTGTATATTTATGGCGAAGGTTTCTAAATTCTTTACAGGAAAAAAAGTACCTTTAACGAACGGAGATGCTCTAGTTTCAAGTTTAGAAGTGGCCTGTTTCGTTTAAAACTGCTTCTAATCTCCAATTCTACAAGTGAGCTTTCAAGTCCTGAAAAATGAGAACGTCCCGGACGAAATGAAGCATCATCCACTTCGAATTTATCCAACACCAACTCTTTAATGTGCAACCCCTGGAACAAATCTGTTGGCACTGATGAAGCATTGACTCCTGACAAAGTCAATTGTTTCACTGAATATCCATTGAGCGCTTTTAGATTGGATTGAAGATTCCCTTGAGAACCAATCCTGTAGCACAATAAGACTGCACCTATCAAAATTTTAACACTATTTAATTTCATGGATTATTATAAAAGTTGTTACTATTGTAATGATAGAGAGTCTCGGTATCAATCATTGTCAGCAATCAAAAGTGCAATAACAAAGTATAAATTTATTGTGTTATTGCATTTTTCATTGTTGAAAATTTAGCTGCCTAGATTAGAACAAGAACTAGACACGGATGCTTAAAAGCAAAAACAGGATTGCATTTATTAATATTTAAATACTAATGGGCTGCGCCCCCTGCTCGCTAACGCTCGCCAACCCCCGAAAATTGCTACGCAATCGTATATGGTTTGCTTCGCAAACCAAGCTCACTTCGCTCGCTACTAACTTAGGTACATTGCAAATGCACAAAATTCTAAGAATTCAAAACAATCATTCCAATCCATATAGAAACTTTTTTTTTAAAAAAAATAACATCTTTTTAGTAAATACTAAGTCATTAAAATAAATTCGAATTCAAATAAATGATATGTAATTCGTTAAACCTATTAGAAATTTGCTATAGTATAATTCGTGATGTAAATCAAAAATCGTCAAATAAATTCGTAATTTATAAATTCGTGAAAAAAAGCGATTTCGACAAAATACTAAAATAGAGATCTATCGACAAAGACTACTCACTTCTACCCAGCTTAATAGTATGAGATTGCCGCAGTTGACGCTCTCTGGTTATTTCAGTTTCCGTTTTTAAAAGAGCTATATGTTGAGCCACCTCAGCTAGATTTGGCATATGGCATTTTTAGCGGCAATAATTGGTCGATTCGCCGTGTAAAAGAAATAGTAACTTAAACAAAACAAAGCAAACGTTGCCACTGGCGGAAAAGAAATAGAGCTGAAATTTGGGAGCCACGTAAGAGAATTATATTTATTAGATTATTTTATTTAATGGATTATTAAAATTACTTGTTTTTATAACACTTCAGAGTATCGGTATCCATCATTGGCAAAAACCACAATCAAGCTCAGAATTGTGATCAATGAAAAGTACAATAACAAAGCATAAATTTCTTTTGTTATTTCATTTTTGTTTGTTGACAATTTAGCTGCTTCGATTAGAGCAAGAACTAAACACGGTTGTTTAAAAACCCAAAACGAGATTAATTAAATTCCCCCAACCTCAAAGTCTCTGTTGCTGTTATTAAAAAGCGGGGTATTTATCGAGTTTCGTGTCAGTTTGGACAAACTACTCCTAACCTTAAACTCTGACTTATTAATCAGGGTAGACGGTCAAAATCAGGATATTGAGCGATTTTTTACAGCCCTACAAATCTGGAATTCTTTTTTTTTGAATGGCGGGCACTTGGAACTATTGTCCACTGGCCACAGAAAGTGCCAGAGCTGCTAAC